TCTAGTGTAAGAGTTTAACAGATAGTTTAACAGATCTCCCTTAGTTATGCAGCCTCCTTTCTCTACCCATCGATCTGTATAATCACTTGTGTTTAAAAATATAGAAATATGTGTATTAATGCAGTAGAATCAGGCTATAAATATTAGTCTACACCTTGTTTATTCTCGATTAAATTATATTCTACACACACACACACACACACACACACACACACACACACATGTGACATAGACATTTCCAGTCTTCAGTATTTCCAAGGGTTATAAGTGACCTTCTTGCCACAGTGAGGATGAGTCTAGATGGGGCATTATTAGGCCAAGGAACAAGGCATGTTCTATCACAAAATTATTTTTTAAAATGAATATGTCAATCAATTGAATGAGCTGTTTTCATTTACTTGCGTATCCATGCACTCATTTATTGTGAGTCTAAGCTCATTTCGTAACTTCTTTCCCTGAAGATCAGCTCTTCATGTCCTTGGGTCCTTTGCCTTCTGAGAGTTTGGCTGGCTCTTGCTAGCCTGCAAAAGCTCTCTATGCATGAGTGATGACACTCTTTGTTGATGCTGTGAGTGGCCAATACTTTTCCCCAGGATCTCATTTCAGCAGTGACCCTTTTCTCTCCGTGCACCTAATCTAAAAGAGAACGTTTTATGTGAGGATACTCATTCCAGTTTGGAAGGTGGAGATTCTTACTGACCTGTGAATGTGACTACTTTGAGATGTTTTAGAATAGCAGTAAAAAAACAAACAAACAAACAAATAACAAATAACTCCAGTATTCAGTCATTGAGACCTTTTTAAGATTAATTTTTATTGATGCATTATGATCTTACACACTAGTAGGGTTCGATGTGCTGTTTGTACATGCACACCACATAATTTGGACAATTTCATCCCACGATACCTGTCCTTTCCCTCTCCCTGGATCCTGTCTTCTGCTTCTAACTGTCTCCCTTCTAATTTCATGAAATTCTCCAACTCCCCCCACCTTTTTTTCTTTCTTGTACCTTCCACATAGGAGAGAAAGTGTATGACCCTTGACTTTCTGAGTCTGGTTTCTTTCACTAAACATAATGCTCTCAAGTTCCATCCTAAAATGGAGCATTTTGAAATCAGATCTCAGAACACACACACACACACACTCACACACTTTTAACAATAATAATTATATCATTCCATTGTTTCCAAGTTTTGCTATGAGCCTGGCATTTCTCACTGGCTGGTTTTTATTCTGCTTGTAGGCATGTGGGTTTTGAAATCAGACCCGTCCGGGTTCTGACAGTCATTTCTGAGCTGGATGACTGTGTGCTGACCAGACCTCACTAAGCCCCTGTTCCTGTCCCCTTGACTGTAAAACAGCCCACAGATGTTCCTTCCTCACAGCATTACTAGTGGGGATGGAAATCAGCTAATCCTCCTGGAGCACAGTTTCTGCTGTGTCATGAACAATAAATGTCATTTTTGTCCTCACCGGTGCCACTGTTCCCATAAGTGTGGCCAATAGCCTGCTCTTTATGGACAAGAACACAAAGCAGGTTCCCGTGAACCACCACCTCCTGCCCCCAGGACACTCCCCAACACCTCTCCCAAGCAGAATCCCCTCCCAGGCAGAGTCCAGGCTGTCTCTACACAGGCACGCTCCTGCTCCAGCGCAGGCCAGAATCCCGCCCTGTGCCAGGGAGTCCTCAG